CATTTGCATTTACTGGGGGAACTGGGAGAATAGGGAAGGATTCTGCCACATACATTTCCAGATGGGATTTCTGGGCTTGGCTTGTGGTGGGGCCCACACAAGCTCTCCAGCTGTGTCCTGGAATCTTGAGGGGAAGGCCTAACGGCAGGATGAAGCAAGAGATGTCCTCCTAGGGATATAAATTTATGAGGTTAAAACCTAACGCAAACACAATTTTCTCCGGAAACACCACCGCAAGGAACAAAAAGGTAAGCAAAGATGATTCCTAAGAAAATTTAGTCCATTGCGATTAACAGTTAGGGAAGAAAAGAGGGACACTATAGCAAACTCTAGGCTGGGAACAAAAAACAAGGAACATCTGATGGTTTCTACTAAAGAAGCTCATGACCCCCATTTGAAACCATTATCACTTCATGCCTAGACTACTCCCTGACCTCGGTCTCTGCTTTGTTCAATCATGTACTCCCATGATCAGGCTAATTTGGATGCAGAGTAGGAGCATGATATAAAGTAGAGCCCATGCTTGGCTCATCAACCTACATGTCCTGGTATGGGGCTGTATTTGCAAGAAGGATGGACTGGGGGTGGGGTGGGGGAGATTGTTTTTGTTTTTGTCTTTTTGTTTGTTTTCATCTACCCAGAAAAGGAGACTTACTAGAAGTTGCCTTTATGTTAGCAGTGTCCCTATGCATCTACCTTCATGCTTATTACCTCTCTGACCAAAACTATCCAGTCTTATGAGACTAGCCCCAAATCCTATTTACTTACTAAGCTTCTTCCTCTGAACTTCCAGACTTTTCTTCCATCTGTGAGACATGGTGGAGGCCAGTGGTTAGAAGTTCAATTTCTGAAGTTATGTGTCTAGTTGGAATTCCTACTCTGTCACTTACGTGTGGCTTTGGGCATGTTATTTTATCTCTCTAAGCCTCAATGTACTCAATTATCAATTAGACAACAATAGCACTTCTCTCAGAAGGTGGTTTTAAGGAATAAATGACAATGTGGTTGGGTTCGGAGCGTGGTGCTTAGCTCAAGCTGAGTGTGGACTGCATATTTATATACTCATTCTTTTCTTCATTAAATAGTTATTGAGCATCTACTACATGCCAGACACTTTCTAAGCTCTGGAGAGCCAATGGTAGGTAAACATAGTAATATCTCTGCCCACCTAGAAGCAAGTGGGGAATATAGGTGATGTTTCAAATTATGACAATAAAAACTGTAGAACGTCAATGGGGACAAGTCCAAAGGCAAGATTTCTGCTATGAGAGCCTGTAATAGGTTTTGTCCTGCTCAGAGATGTTAGAGAAGACTTTTCCGAGGATAAGATGCTTGAGTTGATATTGGAAAGAGGATGAGTAGGTGTCGACTAGTTGAAGAGGAGAGGGAAGGGTGTTCCAGGCATGGGGAACAGCACATGCAAAGGCCTTTGCTGGATGAAACCGGAAATCCTCCAGAGGAAAAGAAACAGAAAGAATAGGATGGGGCATGTATGAGACCAGGCTGCAGAGGTCAGAGGAGCAGCCTGGGCAGGGTCTTATAAGCATTGAGGAAAGAACACAGGGATGACATGGTCTCTTTTGCTTCTTCATAAGATCTCTCTAGCTTCAATGAGGAAAATTAATCAGACAATACATGGGGTAGAAGCAGATAGATCTAGAAACTACTACAGGCCTCTCGTGGAGAAAGAAGCAAAAAATGTTTGTGTTTGAGAGTTATTCTTATTTTCCTCTCAACCAAAAAATAAAGAGATACTATTTTTATTATTTTTCAGTGGGTAACACAATTTTCTATTTCTATTTATTCAAGTCTCCTATCACCATCTAAAATGTATGCCCTGTCATTTCAATTAGAGGATAAAATATTTGTAGGTAAGAGTCATTTGTATTTATTGTATAAGTTTCATGGCATCCTGCTTATAGCAACTGTAAAAAGAATATTTGCTAAGGTGTTTTTTAAATTTCATGTACTAGTGAAAGGGAGAATAATATGAATGGCTGAAACCATGAATTGTTGTGGAAGGTGTGATGATAGAAATCTTTTTCTCTGTGTTGCAGAGGAACCATGCAAAACCAGTAAGGGAAAAAAAAAAAATACTCAATTACCCCACCTGGACAAGAAGGAGGACTTCTTTTCCAGATGAGTGTCTTACCTGAAGGAAATGAGTAAAACCAGCAAAACACTCTTACTCTCCCAGGGTACTTGCAGTGAAAGACAGGATCTAAGTGACCTTCATGCATGCTCTACATGCAAAGGTTGGTGTTATTACTTACTGAAACAACACTAAGTAACCGAGCACATTCTTCTTTCTTATTTTCTTCTCAACGTCAATCTTTTACTTTACTGTTCTTTGTTTTCAGGGAAAAGCAGCTGAAATCCCAACTCAAGGTGACTTAAACCAGAAGGAAATTACTCTCTTAAATAACAGGTGGTCTAGAATCTGATGGTTCTCCAGGAAGGTCCAGAAACTCAACTAAGTCATCAAGAATGAGATTCTTTCCCACTCTGTTTTGCATAGTACTAGCTTCAAACCAAACTTGGTTCCCCTCTGTCATAAGGTAAGAAGGGTAGCCCAGGCAGGAACTTGTCGGCATAGAAGGGAAAACTCGAGAGCATCAAATACAGTAACATGCTCCCTTACTTGTCTCCATTAGAAGAAATGGAAAACTCCCCATGCTGTAAAGTCATTTCCTTCAGCCTGATGGGGCCAAAAAAGGTCACATGCCTGTTTCCTGACCAATCATGATCTCCATGAAAAATGCCATACACTGATTTGCTTAGAGTGAGATTCTACTCCTGGGAATAGAGAGGCTTCCTGAACAAAATTGGGTGTGCATTCACAAGTAGAAAAGGGAGAAAGGTGTTGGAAAGGCAACTGAGTGTGCCTTCCTAGTATGAACTGCTTTCTAGAAAAACAAGATGACTTTATAACTCATTCAAGTTCCACTTCATTTATCCATCCATTCGTCCACTCACTCGATGAATATTTATTGGGTGCTTACTCTGAACCGGGCTTTAGGCAAGCTTATTGAGGCACCTCAAGAATTTTTCAAATACCTCTGCACATATTTTTCATTCACTTGCCACATATGGAGGCAAGTAGCCATATAAAGAGACAGATGTACTCACATGGCACATTTTTAAAAACCCATGCTCCTAACACTCAGTTCTCACATTCAGATCTTCATAAATCTGGATTCCAAGGGGACCAGGTCACGATATCATTTTGGGCCATTGTCAAGGAGGATTTACGATGGCTGTTTGCATGACCCAACCATATGCTGTGGCTGGGGAAATACTCTGGTTAGCCTGATTTGACGTATGTATTGATGACAAAGAAAGTTACACCACACCACAGGAAAAAAACAACATGAAAACACTCCCCAATTTATCAGTGAACTGCCTGTAGAAATAATGACCTTCTTGGTAAAATCAAGAGATGATTAAAAATAATTAATGATACTTCTTGAAAAAGACATAACAATCAGAGGATCTGGAAGCCAGCTGTTGAAACATTTCTTGAGAAGGTATATTTTATTGGCTCTGTGAAATGTGTGCCTTTAGCCCTACAGTAAAAGGCCAGGAAAGGCAGACCTGACCCAGAGATAATGCTGGTTTTCTGTTCTTATATCTTTTCAGCACAAAGCCCAAGTCCAGGGAAACCAGGCGTGATTTTTCTGAACTGACTCGATCTTTTCCCATTAATGACGTGAGAAATCTGTGTGTCTTACCTGATGCTCTGAGATAAAGGGATTCCTTATCTTCACACGTACACCAAACGCTCGATTTCCAAAATGAAGCCAGTAAAAGAAGGAAGAAGAATGCATTGAGCCTTGGTTTCCTCATCTTTCGAGTAGAGACAATACTATCTATATCAACTAGATGGATTTGAGATTAAATAAAATACTGTTTATATATATATAAAATACCAGCAAGGGCAAGGAGTGGGGAGAGAGGTTAACTACAAAACAGCAGCATGAGGGAATGTTTTAGAGTTGCAAAACCACATCTTCATAGTGATGGTGGTTACATAGCTTTATGCTAGTCCTATACATTAAAAAGAGTGAATTTTAATTAATATTTATGTATCTATGTGTGTGTGTATATATATACACACACATGTGAGCATGTGTGTATATATATATGTGTGTGTATATATGTGTATATATGTGTGTGTATATATATACACATATATGTATATATACACACACACACACATATATATATATATAAAATAAAGTACATAGACACATTTTTTAATTAGTAAATCCCTAAGTGCCAGGCTAGGTGTTCCACAATAATAATTTTAAAATTTTAAAAATATAGTCCCTAGCTTCAGAGAGGTAATAGTTTGGGGGAACAGACATATGAAAAAAGTTAACTTCCTCGCCATTTCCCTAAAAGATCTCTTCACATATACTCGGCTCTCTGATTCTCAGATTTGTCATGCTCCTGTCCTCTCTGAGCAAGACTTCCTTCCCAGACTCAAGTACATGCTCCCTCTTGGTGCTCCTCAGCACCTCTCACCTATAATTCTGCTTACATGCCTGGTGCTTCCATGGATTATGAGTTGGTGAAGATGAGAACTCTGAGTCTTGTTTGTTCTTGTAGCCCAGCACTCATGACAGTGCCTGGATGATAAATGCATCATAAGGATGACAGTGCATGGTAAAGAGTAGAGAAATGTTTTTTAGTAGGTGGCAGGTGGATAGATGATGGAGAGGTTATGAGTAAAGAATAAATAAGGCTCACCCTGACATCCCAACTTAGTCACAGTTCTTTACCTTGACAAGTAACAGGAGCCAATTTGAGCAGGCTTAAGCAAAATAGAGAATTTACTGAAAAGACATAGAAAGAACTCTGAAATTCAAAAATCACTGGGCTACATGAGAACCTAGAATCAGCAACAGGATAGCTTTTGGAAACCCAGACAAAATTTTTTCTCCATGTCTAATCTCCTTTTTTTTTTTTTTTTTTTCTGTGGATCCACTTCTCTTCTCTCCTTAGGCTCCACTCTAATCCAATATGACTTCATCTTAACCTGATTACATCTGCAAAGATCTCTCTAAAAAGGAAATAGTCCAGACTAACTGGCTCTCTGTAAATCTCAATGCTGAAATCCTGGAAGGAAGAATTTTATTGTTTCACTTTGGTCTGGATTTCTACCTGCACGTAGAACAACTCTGATCAGGGCATAGGGGCCCATAGCAAACATGTGGCTGCTAAGGTGGACCCAATTCTTAGAGAAAAAGTGTTTTGGGGTTGAGCCAACACTCCAATTGGTGACCGTTACTATGGTACACAGACTCCTCAGGAGACCCCCATGACTCTTATCTCTTGGTGTTAATGAACTTGAGTGTGGGCAGTGCCTGTGACATGCTTTTAACCAATAGAAGATGACAAAAGTGATAGGGTATATGGGATTACGTGTATATGATTATGTAATATCAGATTGTAGCATCCATCTTGCTGCAGTATCTCCCTTAATTGCTCTGAGGTCATGGGTGGTCATGTTGGGAGACCTTGCATGCCAAGGAACTGAGGGTGACCTCTGGTAAATGGCTATCAAAAAACTTGAGTCCTCAGTCCTTTGGCAATAAGACACTAAATTCTGTCAACAACCTAAATGAGCTAGAAAACAGATTCTTTCCAGTCAAGCCTCAAATGAGATGACAGCCCCGGCCAACACTTTGATTGCAGCCTTCTGAGATCTTAAGTGGAGAACCCAGCCAAACCCTGCCTGGAATTCTGACCCACAGAAATTGCGAGATGATAAATGTGTGTTGTTTTGAGCTGCTAAGTTTCTGGTGATACTGTTACACAGCAATAGAAAACTAATAAAACCGTACACTATTTTTAAATTAAAAATACAAAAGAAGGTTCACAGGTTCTCAGTACAAATTCGTAAAGTAAGTTTTGATTAGAGCCATACTGTTCTAGGCAGTCAAGATATGGCACAACAGCCATGCCTGACAGTCAGTTGAAGGGATGCCCTGAGCCTTAGGCAGGATGTCCACATTAGCATAGTGAAAGAGGTTTAACTGCGATCCTCAGCCTCTTCCGGGATTCTGATATGTTCTGCTGGGAAACTTGCTCTCAGAAGGTTGAGTGGTAAGCTCACCTAGGGGCTTGGAGATATCATATTTAAGACGCCAGCTTCAAGAGTTCAAAATGGTAGGGAGCTCAGAAGCAGCAGGCAGGTGGCCCAGGGAGGAATGTAGGAAGAACTGTAAGAAAGGGTGAGGCGGGCTGCCTGGAAACCTGTTCTGGAGCTGTCTGCCATGTAGCTTTACACTGCCTGAACTAATTATGGTCTCAAAGATACTGATTTTCGATGCTGCTAAGTTGGGAGTGGGGGTTTTAGATGGTGTACATGCCCACTTCAGGGAAGAAGCCCTCATCTCTTATGCCCAACTTTAGTTACCACAGATGGCTAATGCACTGATCAGGAGACAGCTGGTTTCCTCTACAGAGTAGGGAGCGACTGTAATACTGTAAATATCAACACTATTGTCCCAGACTTTACTGATAAAAATTG